TCGAAATACAAAACGAAGAGTAAATAAAAAAAGCCTCTCCATGTGACGTTTCAGAACCATTTCCACACATGACCTTTCCTTAAACATATTCCAGCACCATAGCAAAAAAAAAATTTTTTTTTAATGGCTGTCATTGAAAACTGTCCTGATGGTAGCGGGTTGGTTCTTCTCATGGATTTATATAGTAGGCATAGGCAACCAAAGAAAAACGACTTAAGCCTCAAGCCTCATGAAAACAAGACATTTTCACTGTTTAACAACGTAAATCGCACATTCCATAAGTTAAAAACAAAACCATTTCAAGCTGCAATAGTATGGTTTGAAATAAAGTCCAATACTGACAACAGTTTATAAACAAATGTTTCAAGTTCCTGTTTAGCAAAGAAAAATATTCCAATACTCCGAACAGAGTGCAAATCAAAAGTATTCCAATACTCAACGGAGTACAAATCTACTCTATATGATAAAAGTACAAATGCAAAATATTGAAAACTTCATGATACCACCTATACCATTCCTGCTCATACATACGCACCTAATTAACCCTTACTAAAAGAGGCATCACTGACTAAATAGAAACAAGAGAGCGTGATTAGGAGCTAAATAAAAAAAAGACTGACAGAACTAGCAAGTAAGATCATACAACGGAAGGTTTTCCTTAAGCCAATGCGGAGCGCAAGTTTGTCTGCTTCTTGCACAGGGGTTGCGTCACGTCAAAACGCCGAGCTCTTATTGGCTGATTAAAACAAAATAGTGGGTATATCTCAAGGCACCTAGCATTGAGGTCTACCCACTATCATTTCCATCAAAACCAATCAGAGCTCGGCGTCGTTCTAAAGTCATCGCATCTCCTCTGCAAGAAGCAGACGACTTGCTCTTCGCATTACTTGGATGCGTTCTAGCACAACGGTTTAGAATTCGCTTCGCTCAGCAGGACATTCCCACTGTTCTCCTCGTCCTCTTGCCGCCTTGCTGTTTGAGTGCCAGCAGGTGTATTCGCCACGTACGCCATTTACAAGAAACTCCAGAGATGATTGAGGCAACCAATTATCGCTTTTGTATGTTACGTTTACTACACGAATGAAGAACGTGGAAGCAGCCTCAGCAAAAGCACCCCAAACGCGCAAAAATAAATATATATTATGCCAAATGTCTATTTTTTTATAGAGTAGTTATTGCTTTTCCCAAAAATTAGATGATGGGTGAACAAATGCCAGCAAGCCCTTAGGTACATTTATATACCATAAGGTCCTGAAATAATGCCGACCCAAAATGAAAAAGTAAATTGTGTGCATGTGTGTGTGCGTGTGCGCGGGGGGGGGGGGGGGGTGCACTACAAGTTACATGAAACGAAAACTTTTCAACTTCAAAGTTTCTTAACTTTTCCCTCACCACAGTAGGGGATACCCCGCATAGTACGGATGCTGCAGATTCGCGTATCACGGTGCGATAAGAACGAGGGAACTCGCGGCCAGCACGCTTGTCGCGTACAGATACCGCAAAATCACGCAGTTGATAAAAAAAAAAGAAAAAAAGAAACGGGATGCTTGATTTTTTGGGAGCGGGCTCTTGTAAGAAACTTAACGGCGATTTCATGCGTGTGTGTCATATTTAACATACACTCGATCATGCTAAGTGCGACTGTGCCAAAAAAAGAAAAATGAAGATTCAGTGAATGACGAAACCATGCATCGAAGCATCGTCTCGTCTTTTGTCAGAGTTCTGAAGAGTACTCTGACTAAGCGACCTGTGCATGTGCCATTTTCGAAGATCCGGCTTACATGCCGTTGATACGACCACATCGGTATGGTAGTTTCATAGCATTAGGGCCTTTAAAACCTTTAAAACGTTACCGCGTACCGCACACTCTGCAGCCTCTGAAGCATACTTTTAAGCGCGCGCCCCGCGGTCACGGTGTCACTCGGGCGCACGCTTAAAAGCATGCTTCAAAGGCTCCGGTAGTGCGCGGTACACGGCAACGGTTTGCTGAAAGTTCCTATTTTTTTTTTTTTTTTCAGAATTACCTAAACCAACACCCAACACAACAGGGTAAACCACTGAGGCCAATAAAAAAAAAAAAAAAAAAAAAAAAAAGCTCCAATAAATATAACTAGGGTTCCGCGTTTTCGGTTTCTATGTTTTCAAAATTCGGCATACTTTTTTCGGTATTTATTTTAAAATTAAATTTTTGGTTTTTATCGGCGTATGCTTGTGCCCACAAAAGTTTATCTTTTTTTTTTTTGGTGAATATAAAATAATAGTCTTGTGCGAATAGTGGATTTTGAGTCCGAAGTGAATTCGAAGCGAATAGTAGTTTAGGCTGAATATTTTCGATTCGAATATCGAATAGTTTTTCCACGCCTTTCACTACCATTGCATAATGCTTAGACGAAAACCCAGCTAAACCTGTAAAGGTTAATGAAAGACTTGAGCGTGTTGGTGATCTACATTGACTTAAAACAAAAGAAACACACAAAAGGACGAAACAGACGACACAGCTTTCGTGTCGTCTGTGTCGTCTGTTTCGTCCTCTTGTGTGTTTCTTTCGTTTTAAGTCACTGTAAAGGTTGCATCTCAGAAGGTCTGGTGTCTTGGGATGGCAAGTAAACGACGGATTTGACATAAAATGAATCCTATAGAGATGGCCAACTATACCAAATGAGGGAATTTACAAATCTTGATATATAAAATATTCTTTCTTTTATCTCAAGTTAAAAAAGAGTGAGTCGCACATGATGAACACAGGTTGTAAAAATCTCTGCCTAACATAGTATACTCTTCCATGAAAGTTTAATTTTGAAACTTTTACTACAATGTAAATATACACATTCACAAAGTTTCCATTTATTTTCATATACAGTCGGCACGGGTGCACCATCCCGCTTTGGATGTATGCTTTTCTTGAGCGCGCAATTACGATATTGTTTATCGCGGCGGGTTACCCCGTTAAGGGCGCTTCTTAGCGAGCACCAATGTAATGCGGAGAAGCAACACCCACGAAGCTCACTTTTGCGGATTTTGCTTCTCCGCAGCGCACCATTGCTTGGTAAGAAGCGCACTCAACGGGGCTAACCCGCCGTAATCTACACTTCGAAAAACGCGAATAGTGCAGTTCTTTTCGAAGCGAATATCGAATAGTGTATTATTCGGAAGTACTATTCGAAATTTTGAATATTCGCACAACCCAAAATAAACACCAACGGACACCGGGTTAGATGATCCTTGTAGCTGATATTTTTGGTCACTCAAAGAATAACGGCACAAATACATTGAAAAAGAAACGGGCACTTTATTTGGCAAATGTGTGCAACTGTAAAAAAAAAAAAAAAAAAACACACAGAACTACCAACAAGTCAGACATGAAGCCATGCCCAAAAAACATAAAACTTCGCTTTTTGTACATCAGAATTACCGCGATCTTATTCTAGTACTCACACATGTACTTTCCGAGGTTCTCCTCGTTGATCCGCACTCTTTCTTTCCTGTTAATATGACCCTGAGCTTCGAGAATGCCCTCTCAACGCTAACATTGTACACTGGCAGGCTGAGATGATGCGCTGCCTGAGCCAAAATCGGCCAATCAACCAATTGTGACCGCCAAAAGAGGTACGGTGCAACGTTTTGAAGCACAACACAACATGCAGAGCTTGCATTAAGTCACTCTTCCTTCAACGAGTTTGAAAACACGCTCGTACATGGCGAAGTCATGGGCATTTCGGACTTCATGTTCCGATCGATGATGCGCACACTAAACCAGGACGTTGTGATGGCATCCGTGTATCCCATACATTGGGACACATTTCGATAAACACTGTCGTTCGTCTTTTTCGTCAAGGCTCTGCGGTACGACTGAAGGGCCAAAGCGACCTTTTCCGGTTAAAACTGAATTTTAGAAAATGGATTTGGCGTACTTTTATCGGTTTAAACCGAAAACTCCAAACCCTAAATATAACCTAAAAAAAAAAAAAAAAAAAAAAAAAAAAAACTTGTTTGGTTAGTTTTGACGCAACATGTGCGCTTGGGAGCAGGATGGTGCAGCAAAAGTGGATTGGCGCACAGTGGCGCAATTAGCGCAGCGCTTCCACCCCTGTCTATGATGTGCCACCTGTGGGTAGCAGCGTCATCCAGAGTTTTAAACGTTTTCCTCTCCGTGAATTAAAAAAAAAAATGCTAGGTTAAATTTCTTTTTCTAGAACTAAAACTAAGTTAAAATAAAAATTGAACCCAACTTTTTTTTTAAAGATATGATTAAATTTATAATTAATGAAACTTTTATCACGAATTTTCTGCGTGATAAATGCACCACCTCTTAGACACATTTGTGGAAAGTTTCATTACGCTTAGGTTTATTTATAGGAATTTTTATTTAAGCCCGCATAGGCGCTCAGAAACAGCCCGTGAACGATTGGACGTCAATCGTGAAAGCGCTGGGAATAGAAACACTGAACACGAGCCGTGACCAGAGATGTTTCAGTGTTGAATTTCCGCAATTCTGAGCGCGCATCGCTGCAGCCAGAGAGAGACACGTGGTGCCAGCATGCGGACAGCAGCGGTCGGTCCGTTCTCGCACGTGTGTGGGGCAGGAACGAAAAGAGACCGAGGCCCGATTTTCCGAGAGGGGAAGCGGGAACGCTCGGAAGCGGCCAGCCAACGTTGCAGATCAACAAGAAACTCGCAAAGGTCACTAAGCGAGCGGTACGATCGAGGTCGGTCGGAGACCAGCGAATCGCCAACTTTTTTTTTCCCCCTCCTGGCCCTCGCATCGCAACTCCCAGGCAGGCTATGCGAAAACGATCACCCGACTTGACCGCGTTTAGTTTGTACTCCTTTCAGAGAGCGCCGAATAAAAGATTCGACTCTCGAAAAACGGAAAATAATGCGTGACGTCAAGTTTTGCCGAGCTGCGAACATAGAGGCCGCCAACGAGCAGAACGAGACGAATGAGAGCTCTTGTTGTCACGTGATCGACGCTCCAAGTGGTTCAGGCGTTGAGGGCCACGGGGGTTGCGAGAGTTAGCACAGACCCAACCCCAGTCACACTCCGCTGCCCTCTCTTGTCAAGAGAAAGGGCGAGCGACGTGAGGTTCGTGTGTGACGCTCCCTCGTTTTGGACGGTGCTTGGGCGTACGCGGCGCATAACATTTGCGCTCGCCCTGTCAAAGAAATGTCCGGCGAACAAGAATGGGAACCCTTGCCGTCGTACCTCGAGGTCCTGCGAGGTATGTACGATGTGTGCAAGTACAGCGCTCGTGTGTACGCCGCCAACGGTAACTACAGTTTCCCCAAGGACGTGCTTGTGGACGTGGGCAACTTTTGTCAAATTCCTCTCGAGGATATCGTCGTTGTGCTGGGACTAGCCATCCTCTGGACGGTGGGCAGGCAGCTTCTCACGGACCGCCTTTTCAAGGTGAGATCGCCAGTGCACGGGCCATTGCCGCCGCCGCGGCAACACGATACGAGCGACTCCCAATATTTTCTTTTATTGGGGGGGAACCGAAAAGGCCCCGCCTCGCCTTCCAGTGCCGGCGTTTCTGACGTCTCCTTTACGCTCTTCGCTTTTCCCGGTGCCGTTCCCGGGGTGCAGATTCAAAACTATTCTCACTTCCTTCGGTAGGAGCACAGGATTTCTTATTGTCCGCGTCGCGCGACTTTTCACCACGATGGTATGCGCCTGTTGCTGCCGGGAGAATTCGGGTTCTAACGGCCTCTTTTTGGCGACTCGGGATATTGAATACGCCCGAGGTGAAACTTTGCGGAAGACCACCCCCGGACGTGCGCAGTAAACGGATCTCGAGGCACTACGAATTTCGTGCCCGCACCGTTACGTTGAACGCTCTGTCATGAGTCCGAGCTCGCGAGTTAAGCCCGCGGCGCCCATGAAGCCTAATGTTACACCTACGGCGTCTCGGCGTTACCCCGCCGCCTTCCCGCGTTCACGTAAATCCTGGGTTGTGGCCCGTTTCATGAACACAGTCCGCGAGATTCGCACGAGCGCACTTCGTCATGACCATGACCCACTGTGAGTCATCGCTGGAATCCACAGCACCGCAAGGTTGATAAGCCACTCTGGTGTGTGTGTGTGTGCAGGAGGCACTGAGGTGTCACCAGCAAAGCGTGTACTCTTTCACTTCCTTATATCGCGGGACGGTGTATTGTTTTATTTGGCGGATCGTAACTCGCCCAGGATGTTTGTGTCACCGACATGAAACAAACGTGTAGTAAAATTGTGATTTCATCTCGTGTTGCTCGATTGCCTCGCTACTGAACTGGCAAACTACGGAAACGATTTTGAAGTCCCGTTTGCTGTTCGCCAGTGCATCTTTGTAGCCTCTGTCGAGATCGCGTATTTTTTAGTGTTGAGATTTCTATGTTTGTATTCCTGAGCTCAAGGTTTGACAGAGTGTCCGGAGCAACCTGTATATCTTTTATCGTCCTTCCTGTGTTGTGACTATTGAGATAACAGTTTGAACCGGCCAGCGAATGCTCGTTTCTGCAATCGCACGACCAAAAAAACAAAATAAAAATATTTTGTTAAAAAAAGAAAGGTCGGTAGGAGAATTCGGCATTTTAGGTTAGTATTGAGGATTTTCCTCGTTACAGAATACTGACGCACCTTGAGATTGCTCTTGTGGCAAGGATCTTGTACAAAGTTTCAGCGTGTAAGTTAACTGGACAAAAACTTGCGAAAAACTTCAGAAAGTCTTCACCAACATAAAAGCGTTGAAATACTTAGAAGATAATACTGTTTGCTGCTCTTTCGTTGAAGGCTTCCTGGGAGCATCAGAGTGGTAGCTGGCATCTGCTAAAGATACTTGACATACCTTTTGAAGTTCTTCCTGTTAACTTTGACTTCCTTTGCAAGTTATTTGTGCTCGTGGCAAACTCGATTACCCACAGCCCTTCCTTTGGCACAGAAAGCTCTTTCTACTGGCCAGTGCAGAACTTTTATAATTTATGTGCTGTTTCACTCAAAATACAGTTTGTTCTTGTCCAACAATAGGTCAAATCGCCACGACCGTCACTTTACGGGGTTTGGGTGGTGGGCTAGGTCGAAAGTAATGGCACTGGTTAGAAAATGTGGAACATACTTCCTTTACTAAATCTTGTGAAAATGACGATAGAGATCTGCAGTTTGATTAATTACACCCTGCAATGCTAATTGTTTTTCACTAGTTCTTCTGGATTGCATAAATTGCAAAGAACAGGGTCTGCACAAAAGTGAAGTCAGTTATGAGATTGTTGTCTGTCGTTAGCTGTGTTGCTATAGTCGGTTACAAGTCAAGAAGGTAGAAGAAGATCCTTCCACAAGCGTGATGCGCCCATTTTAAATCTCTCCGCAGTCAAAAGAAGAGTTCACTGGAAACGCTCCTTGTTCCGCTTTAATGGATTCCAACTTGTCTCCGATCCCACTTTTTAAGAAAACGAGCTTTGTATTCATTGGAGGGGGAACCGAGCCCCTGAAAGGGGGCCTTTGTATCCATCGGAGGGGGAAGCTAATCCCCGAAAGTCGTATTTGTTTCCATGGGAGGGGGAAAACTCTTCTCTCCCTCTCGTGGCTTCCACAATGCTAAATCAAAGTCGAAAGATAAAGCAAATATGTACAAAAAGGCAAGACCCCCCTCGCGTGTTGGCCGCGACATTACGGAAACGATGGGACGCTATTGGATATGGAGGTGGCGGAGGGATATATGATTCTCTTTGAGGGGCACTTGCCGCTACCTTCTTAACCTGTAACCGACTATAGTGGCAGACAGCTAGCGCCAGCGCGACTGATCAGTATCGGCATCTGACAACAAAGAAGAGCTGCATCTTTCTATCTTCATTACGACAGTGCCCTCCGTGAACTTCATAGCTCGGATGTGTTGCCCTTAAGTGTTCTTATACTTTGTTTTAGCTTAAGTCCAGATCCAATCAAGTGGTACCAAAGTGCAAGTCATAAGTCACTTATGATTGGTTCAGCGATAATAGGAAGATTTAGGAACATGACATGGTGCGCTTTTAATGCTGTCTGATTGGTCCCATCAGGCCATAGCGTTGGCTACTTTAAGGTGAAACAAAGCATAGGGACACCATTTGGCTGGGCAGTCGAGGTTTTCTCGTTCTCATGGACACTTCAAGTACACGCACAATGAATACATTTTTTTCATGTATTAGTACTCAGTTAAGCTCAAACCTGACCACTCAAATTCCTCTTTAAACAGAATGGCCACTCGTGCCTCGATCCTTGTTGGTTGTTGGGGTTCTTTTTGGATTGTGATATGACGCATTTCAGCCACTCTGGAAAACAGGAAACAGTCCTGATGATGCAAGCCTTTCCCCGCAGTTCTTTTCTTTCTGGAGCTAGTCTCAAGCCAAGTGCGTGAGCGTTGCTCTGAAAGTTGTTGCTGCTTCTTGAGGGCTTGCGTAATTATAATTCCCCAACCAGGCAGGCTTACTTGCAGTTCAAAATTTTGCCTCTATATAATTTATCTGAATACCAATTTGTGTATTCTTACAAAGATATAATATAAAAAAACTGATCATTTTCTTTCACGTATTGTTTAAACTGTGCCCCACAATACGCCTTATACAACCAGGGAAAAAGACAGCTTTGTTTTACCTAAGAACGAATTTTGACTTTACTATGTTACACAATATTTTGCCCAAGTTTTTTTAATACGCCTCTATGTGATCAACTGAGTGATATGTCTTCTTCTGTCCTCCGGAACGCTTTTCTATAATTTGTCCGTACTTCAGCCATGTGTAACTTGTGCAAAATATGTGCAAAACTATGTGTACCTCAACATATTTTTCATTCTCTTTATATTTTATTTATACTGCATTTACACTGCCGACTTGTAAGGGTGCTGAGGCCCGTCGAGCAGTAGACGACGCTGCTTTTTTCTTGCCATCCTCAGTTTGTGTTTCAAGCTGAAATAAACGTTGATAGATTGAAGTATGGGTTGGAGTTGTTCACATAGAACACAGTTGGGTTGCCAAATAAAAGTACTTACCTTAAAATACCGGGGGAGCAACCATCCCGCTGTCACCGAAAACTGGGTTAATCTAGACATGGGTGCTTGTCATAATTTTCAGAATTCCCAAGTTTGGGAAATGTTAATAATGGGCGCAAGCGGGCGCCTCCACATTATTTTATAGTAATGTATTGTAACAAGTTACAGTAGTATTCACTTCCTGTAACTCTCACTTAATTACATTCCGAGAGTGACTTTGCTCGATTTCAGTCATTTTTTAAAATTATGTTGTTGAATCCGCAAGTCCTCATTAATCTCGACATTGGTGCTAAATTCGGCCTTGAGCTGAGCGCCAAATTAAGAAGGAATTCTGGCTGCATCTTTGCCACATTAGGAAAATGTTAACCTTCGTTCAGCATAGCGGGATGCCTCGGCAGTGTGGGATAGTTTGCCTGAGATGGAGCATAACTTCGTAACTTTTTGTGTAGCCAGGCAATGACCGTGAAGGAATGCACTTTTCTTACATCTTTTAAATATAATTGTGGCCCATTTGCGCTTCGTGAAAGTATGCGATATATGTCATCTTATACGGTGGGAACTTTTCCTCCAGCTCTGCATTCATGTGCTTCTACCTCCTCCATTTATTTGCGAGTTGCAGGGAGGTCTATTCTTATCTTTTAGAAAGAACAAAAACAGTGATGTGTGATTCTTCCGGATGGCACCGTTCAGTGCCTCCTTATCTTGTCATTATTGATGTTTGCCAAGACTGCTGATACCAAGCTGTTGAGGGATGCCCCAAAGCGAGAGTCTTTTGTCAGCTCACCTGTCTGCATCTGCTTTTGTGAAGTGTGTTAGGAGCGTAAATAAGGCGACCTTAGAGACATTCCTTGCCTTTCTCAAATTGAGTCTGTGTGTCTGTGTTATCCTTTGCTCTCACAACATGGGCACCATTACCCAAGATGGAATTTGTTTTGCATATGTCTGTGATTCACTTCTGTGGTCAGCTGTATATGCGTTCTCTTATTTTGGCCCTCTACGAAGATTGTATACCACCGCCTACCACAGACTCGGGGATACTATTAAAACACGAAGCACTGGGTGGTGGTAGTGGAAATGGCAAGAGTTTGGAGCTTGTGGCTGTTAGACCTCGGATATTCGGGAAGCTTGAATTACCCAAATGGTTCTGGGTCATGAACCCCTTTGATCTTCGATAGAATATCTTTTAGACTCAGCACTGGCCATCAATCCGTGCCGAACTGGTGCTCGAGCCACGTCCAGGATTTTTTTTTTGCTTGGTTTGATTTGTTTATTTAGGGATTATTTAAGCTGTCTCTGCATAATTGGGAATGGGGAAGTGATAAAAGATGCGGTGATTTTAATTTTACCTTTCCAGTGATGCAACGAGGTAGTTAGAACATCGACTGACGATTACTTTAAAGCTCTCCTCGCAATT